CAAGTTGGACTTAAACACAGAACAAGTGTATATTTGCACAGTAATTACAGAGAAAAATATTGCACTAGTTTTAATTTAATTGTTCGATGGCCAAATTAAACCCTCTACATTTTTTTTGCTATAAAAACACCACAGTATACATCCACTGAAATACAAAAGTTGTATCATGTATTTTTTCTGTGAACAGCTGGAAAGAGGTAAGCTTGTTTTAAGCTGCATTGAACCTTGATGGTATATCATGCAAAGTTATTTGGTGATAGTGGTGTTGAGAAGTTGCTGGTGTGAAGTTGCTGAAATCGACGAATAAGCTTTCATAAGGTAAGTAGACTTGTGAATTATAAATCATAGCAGAAACTCATTAACTCATTTCACTAGATGTCCAGTTTTGTTGTTCAGTAATCTCCATCATGTCCGTCCTTTTATAATAGAATGTGTACCCCATGGTTAAAAAATACCTATACGCCTATAATAAAATACCAATATAAAATTATAAAAAGTATATATCGTCTTTCTAAATCATTCCCAAACATAAGATTGTTGTTTAGGCCATACATACCACGTACTAGAATAAGCACCTCTTAGTTTCAAAATACTTACAGTATAAATTATTTGTAATTTTACAGGTTGTTACCCCTTTATTCCCCAAACTTCGCATATTATTCCCTTATACCTACACGGAGGTACTGAATAGGTACACTATAATTACAAAAAAGTTACACTGTAACTTCAGTTTACTTACGCAGTTCTTTGCAGGTTGCATATCTGGTTGTTGCCCCCTTATTACCCAAACGTAACACATTGTTCCCTTATACCTACACGTATGTTCTTTATAGGTACACTATAATTACAGAAACGTACACCGTAAATTCAGTATACTTGCATAGTTCTTTGCGGGTTGTAATCTAAAGCGTTACCGAATTATTTGTCTGTTTTAATTAAAAATTTTAAAACAGCTTTATGTGATTTATTAAGAAAGCAAACAAATTATTTGTTATAAGCAAACAAATGATTAAATTACAGTTAATCAAAATGTTTACTTTCTTTGGAAAGTTCAGCTCAAGAGGTCAATGTTGGATGGTTAGTTAGATCAAGTATTACAGTTCCCTGTACATGCTAGTTGAAAACATTTATACGGCCCTGCATGGTGCCCAAATCACCATATGGTTAATCTGGCCCTGCATTTCTCATCTGTTATCTGAACACCCTCTATTCAAGTAAATGCGATGACAAAATAAAAATCTACCACTGTTACTGATATACATCTATAGACAAAATAAATAGTTTTTATTAATAAAAAGTGGTGTGTGTTTGTGTATTTGCGTGTTTGTGTGTGTATAATTTACCATTTAAATCATTTATTTCTCTCGAGCAAAATGTTGTTTTGGACCCCGCTGGTTTGAAACAACATGACAGTATAAGTACATTTTTTGGTGAACTAGACAAGAAGTACTCCTCTGAGCTACATGAGGGAAAATTACCATTTCGGTTTTTCTGAAAATACATAAATCTATGGCTATGATGTGATGTCTATTAAGATCATGCCAAAACATCTCAGTTGGGCTGAGGTCACAACTTCGGCTACTACAGAAGGCATATTTTCTTTTGATGAAGTCATTATGTTGTTGATTTACTCCTGTCCTGTCACATCACCCAAATTATTTTGAGCTTCAACTGGTGGACAAGAGGGCCTCCTAGAGAGAGAGAAAAGACTGTTTATCCCCTAAACCATAATGGCCTTCCAACCATACTTTTTATGTTGGGATGAGGTTTTGATGTTTTAGGTGTTTTTTTTGGGGGGGGGGGGGAGGGGT